ATTTGCATTGGTACTATTGGTACTGCATTTGTACTTGCTGTTGACTACCAGCAGGTAAAATTCTGTATTTAGGATAATGACTAGGAAACAATGTTCGGTATATTTCCACTTTATAATATGTTTTAAATTAAGTAAACAGTTTTCTTAATTCTCATTGACTTCATTGGAATGAGGAAGGGTCCCCAAAGTCCACATTTGTTCTTTAGAACAAAACATACTGAATTCAGTAATGCAGTGAATTTCAAAACTTACTAACAGTCATTATGATAAAATAAGTTTTAAAAGATTCAGAAGTGTGAAAGGCTATCTCAGAAAATAGACAAAAAATTAAGACGTAGAATCCTATTGTTTTGTTTTTTCTATGTATTCTATTATCAGTAGTGTCAGCAATATAAAATGTAATCTACCTTTAACAGAAAATCAATATTTGTTACCAATTAACCTTTAAAGAATTACTTCTAGGTAGCCAGAAAAATAAATTCATCACTTAAAATTAAATATTTCCCCCCTAAAATCTATTTACTTTTAAATTACTATTTTTATTTTCATGCTGCTGTGAATGGAAACTTGTGACACCTGCACCTCTATTTTGATGAGATCATAGCCACGAATAATTGTGGTGAGATTTATTAGTTTGGACTGATTTACTGAAAATAAAAAATAATACCACTTCCTAGATTATCTTTTAGTGTGGCTGTTACAATCAGAAAAGTATATTGTTACCCATCTGAATGACATCCTGATGAGAGCAATGTTCCAATGGGAAGTAACAAGTGCAAAAGTGAGCAAATGTCTCTATTCTTATTTATTTTAGCTAATAAACTAGAGCAAAAGTCAGACAAAATCATTTAAATTAATTGAAAACTTGAAAAATTATTTGATAAGCAGAATTGCTTACTATTCTTACTTTAAATAAGAAAGGAAGCACTTCGCTCTAAGCAAATCTCTCATTCTATTTCAGATTGCCTTCCTGAGTTTAGGCAACATCATCATGGTGAATTAATCTAAACCTCTTCCAAGGTGGATGGTTGTAATCATAGATACAGTCAGGTCTGGCTTCTCTGCTGTGTTGGGATAGCAGGCAGCAGCAAGATGTTTGATCATTCAAAACTCAAAATACCATATATCAGCATTGCAGAGATAAGGACAACATTCAAGCTCACTTAATACACATGCTTCACCCAGAACTTCATGTACATGGTCTAGCTCTAGTCTAAGATAGCTTGACTGTGACATACTGTACATAAACATTAAAAGGCAAGAGATGGCAGCATGTTAGGGGAAGCTTTTTCTTCTCAAGTGCTGAAAGAGAGGTGTCTACAGTTCAAGGCAATTATATCCCGGTGCCTACTTTTAGACTTCTGGCTCTCAGCCATTACCTCTCTTGGGTGGAGACCAATGTTTTTCTCCCTCCTGACTAGGGTTTCAAGGCTGACAGCTCCCTGATTTACACTGTGAGATCTCCAGCAAGCCAGACTGCCTCAAAGACAGACATAAGCACTCTGCTTTCTCTCCAGAGGCTATAACCAGCATATTGCCCACAGTTATAAGTTACCACACAGCTTTAAGCAAGCACATTTATTTTTAAGGTGAAAGCATTACAGAGAAAATATATTAAAAACAACAAAAGAACCTACATGCATGCTAAAAAGCCTTTCAGAGAGGTCAATCCCAACTCCAACCTTGGGCTTTGGTAGGTGTCAGTCCTTCAAAACCGATGACTGGGTTTCTCCCATGGTTACAAGATTATAACTGTCTCAGAACCAGAACTGAGATTGGAAGATCATCCTGGTTCTTTATACATCTTGGGCCTTTGATCTCCAGTCTCTGGGAACAAGTAATCAGCAGACAAAGTCCCTCTCTTCAGAGGGCTGGGTTTTTGCATAACTGGAGTTGAGGAATTTGCATTAAGTTCCCCCTAGGTGTTGCCCAGAAAATCCACTTAACACTTACTGTCCCAAAAGACCATACTTGTCTGGCGTGTATTGTCAATATAGTCTATTGAACTCCCAGGTCTCACAATTATTAAGTTTTACAAGTTGCGAGAGCAGCTGTTAGTTCCAGTGGCGCTCCATAGGTTGCCTGAGAAGGAGACTGAATCAGCACATTTCTTGGCTGATATGCCTTATCTGATTGGCCCTGCCCATATCCTGGGCATTGCTGGCAAGATTTGGGATGCCTGAAAGGGTAGGGATTGTGGGCAATCTGTGTTGTTGCAACCTGTAATATAGTTTCCAACACCAAGGTCCCACAGTCACGTCCCTGCAGTGATTTCTCTAGGACGGAGTGTGAGGCACATAGTGTGAAGTAGCTATGCCCTCAATCTTGTACATAAAGAGCCCAATCCAAAGACATTGAAATCAATGGGAGGATCCACCTTGTCTTCAGTGGGTTTTGGATTAGGTTCAAATAGAGGACTGCAGCCTCAGGTGCTAATTCTGCGTCTTTTACAAATGCTAAATCCACATTTAAAAAAAATAGAATATAAGGGCTTGATCCTACATGCTGCTGAAAACTCTGCTTTGATCTAGCAAAGTATTTAAGTGCATGCTTAACGTTAAGCACATGAATAATGCCATTGACTTCAATGGGATATTCCTGGATCAAGCCCTAAGAGAACATCCCCATAGTACTTCGGCTAGAAATGATATCAGTCGTACCTTAAGGGCCTGGAGAACTGTGTTTTCAAGAAACTCTGGGATTGTCTCCCCATAATCCTCTTACCAAGAAATTATATTGTCAATGTGGACAGGATACTTCACCCAGATCCAGTTATCATTTTTATGGCGAAGTTGAGAGAGTGGGAGCATATTTATAACAAGTTTTATCAATCCAAAGGCTATCTTGCAGAACACAATGGACAGTATATGCCATGGTGTGATGTACTAAGCAATGGTGCATTCACAGACAAATTCCTGTGCACAACTCACAAATCTAGTTAATTTCAGGTTTTCTGTAGATGGGATTGGAAAATGGTAGTAAGTTAACATATCAACCATTTCAGCTATTTCAGGAAAGATTCCTTCAGGAAAAATTCCTTCCAGCGATATTCCTCATCACGTGTAAGAACAGACGACTATTGCCTGAATCACAGTGGAATTTCAACCTAAGGTTGTTTTTAGAGATGGAATGGAATGCAATTATCTCATTATGTCTTCAGGCCTATTGAGTATTTAAAAATATTTAGATTTTTTTCCAGTAGGAAGTGGTACTAAAAATCAGTGCCAGGATTCATGCAAGAAGCATACTGTGATTTTCTCATTAATTGAGAAGTAGTCCTACCTTTGACAATTTGCCCCCAGTAACAAATTACATGCTGAATCACAATCTAGTTAGAAATTGAATATTTTATCTGTATTAGGGGTGTCCCCAATGTCTAACTATAGAATACAGCCAAATGCTGAAAATATGAAAAAAGTATTCAGCCAAAGCCAGATTATGGGCAGAGTACAAAGTGCCACTCTCAGACTTTCTGTATGATTGTTTATTGTAGCAGATTGTTGGTAATATAATCCAGCATGGGTCAACTGATTCTTCCAGATTTACTAGCCGTTATGTTTTGCTAATAATCTGCCATTACAATGATGACATTATGAAAAGTGTGCCACAGATAGAATATCTACTTATGTATGTGCCTGAATCTCAATGCCAAACCCCTAATGATAATTAAAAGTACTTAGTACCATTTTTAGAGATGTGTTAGCAATTTAACTCTATTCTGAAAAGAATTGCTTTTTTCGTTTATAAAATGGCTGAGTTTGCATTCTTTAAAAATGGCTTATTATGCTCTGGGAAGGCTAAAGCCTCCCATTAAGGATCTAGCCTACAAATTGCAAGAACAGGCACCCTGAGACAGGTAGCCTCTGTACAGTCAAGAAGCACCGTAAACTTGCAGCTTGCCAGAGCACATTCTGAGCAGGAAGGGGGTGTGGTTCCATGGGGCCAGGCAAGATGGAATCTGCAGTAAGTGGAAGTGAGGAGATTGGGGTCTATCACTAAGCAGGATGGGAAGAGTAATAGGAGGATATGACATGAACTGACCACAAGAGGAAGGAGAGGCAAAACTGTTGGTGCTACTGTAAGACCAGAAGGGAGCATGACTTCCTTATAATCTGTGTCTCCAATACTAAGGAAAAGTGGCAGAGCCAGTTCAGCCATGCCAAGGTACTGTGGGGAGGAAATGGGAACCTTTTATAAAACTATTTGACTTGTAATAGGTGTTTGAAAATTATTCAAGTGTGGCTGAATATCAGAACTTTTGGCCAAATGCCTGCTCAAACCTCATTCACAGAAAACTTCCTGTTTTGGATAAATTGTGATATTTTGATGCTCTAGGGAAGGAAATCAGATTTCAAAGGGTTTTCATATGCTTGAGAAAGAAGTATCAGTGTTTTTTATTCAACACACACAATCAAAGGATTTAGCTTGTCTGTTGAGTGCTCATTCCTCTGGAGGCATGATTAGTACACGGAGGGGAAAATATAGAATGTCAGCAGTTGAGCTCTGTAGACAAACAGCTTGAAGCTACTTTTCAATCATCAGACATCACAGGCTGGACAAGTTGGGTTTGTTTAGCATTGCCTCTGAATGAAGAGTTCCTCATCAGCTTAGACCATGGGCAGGGAAGTAAAAGTATTGTGTGCAGCAAGTAAAGTTGAAATGACAGTGCTTGTAAATTTCTGTTCAGTGACTTCCCACCCTAGTCTGAACTGTCCTGCCCTCCAAAATACACAATAAAATGCATGCTGCAGAAAAATGAAGCTCACAGCTTTCTTTCCTGAATACATCATTTACTTATTTATTTATGTATGTATTTAAAATGTCCATCATCTTCCAGCCCAGACATTGGGGATTTGGAATCTGTTAAAATGACATTTTAAAGATGATAGAGAATGATGCCGTTCCTTCTTGGCAGTGGATATCATTTGTGATTTTCTTTTTTTTATCTTGGTAATGAAGCAACAAAACAAAAAAAACACTAATTTTTATTTCTCTTTTAGGGGGATAACTCCTATGTAAAGGATCGTTGGTGTGTGTTTGATGGATTCATGGTTTTTTGTCTTTGGGTGTCATTGGTGTTACAGGTAATTACATAATTTTACCTTAAATATGAAGGGCTAATATTTCAAAAGTAGGCCCTGCAGTTGTGCATGCAAAATACTCACAGCAGCATTAACAAGTAACTGTGTGCAATAAATATACAGTACACTTGTTCATGGGTCAGATTTAAAATTCAATGGGTCTACTGTTTCAGAGTCCAGTAACAACACAGCCATTGCAGTGCATCTACATTAGGGGTTTTCTTTGGTGTAACAACATTGATGTTTCACTGGTGTGAATTTCTTTAATTTAGACATGTCCTTAATTTTAAGCTCATTCAGAAATTCAACATATTGCATATTGGAAGGAATGTCACAGATTTAAAATAAAACAGAGGAAATAAAAAACAAACCCAAAACATTTCCATAGCAATGTTAACTTGTTCACATTTCACATAAAGTTACAGTATAGGAAGAATTCTGTCTTTCCTACCCATACAATCCTTCATCATTCAGCACAGAGGGAGTTTTTCCTGAGTAAAAACTGATCAGGGACTACAGGACTCGGTTAATAATTAGAGATGGAAAAGACCTGTCATGATTGCCATTTAAAAGTCATCATATCTTATTCAAGTATGTGTTGGTGTGGATCCCACTCTAGGTGTGCATCCACACTGACTACAACATCTCAAAAAACTAGTTGTTTTAAGGTACATAACCATGCACAATTACCACATCTGAGACATACAGTTATTTTCCATTTAAGTATAGGGGAAACTGTCATATCTTTCATACACCTGTGTAGTAAAAGTGGATAAATGCTAACTTTTAAATGGCAAACACTGTAATCTACTCTGCACTCTGTCAGTGATCCCTACAGAACATTTCCTAGTACATTCATAGATCCAAAGCCAGAAGGGACCATTGTGATCATCTAGTTTGACCTCCTATATCACACAGACCATGTAACTTCTCCCAAAATAATGCCTAAAGCACATCTTTTAGAAAAACATGCAATCCTGATTTTAAGAATTGTCAGTGACGGAGAATCCACCATGACCCTTGGTAAATTGTTGCTATGGTTAATTAGTCTAAAAATGTAGCCTATATTTCCACTCTGAATATGTCTAGCTACAACTTCCAGCCATTGGATCGTCTTATACCGTACTCTGCTAGTTTGACGAGCCCATTCTTACATATTTGTTCACCATGTAAGTACTTATGAACTGTAATGAAGTCACCCCTTCAGCTTTTCTTTGTTGAGCTCCTTAAGTCTATCACTCTAAGACTATTTTTCTCACCCTTTGATCATTATTGTGGCTCTTCTCTGCACCCTCTCCAATTTATCAACATTCTTCTTGAATAGTGAGCACCAGAACTGGACACAATATTCCATCAGTGTTCTCACCAGTGCCAAATACAGAGGTAAAATAACCTTTCTACTACTGCATAAGATTCTCCTGTTTATGCATCCAAGATTCTCATTAGTTCTTATGGCCACAGCATCACACTGGGAGCTCAAGTTGAGCTGATTATCCACCATGACCCCCAATCCTTCTTCTTCGAGGAGTGTCCCTGTGAATGCTTCACTTTATGTGTCTTGGCACCCTGCACTTGTAATCAGAGATTTGTAATAGCAGTGAACTGGTTGGCTGCGCAGATGCGGCAGCCATCTTGCGCCGCTCCGAGCAGTTACCTAGCATGCACAGCCAACCGACCCCCAGTTCCTTCTTTACTGCCCTTGGCTTGAGTCGGAGCGACAGCAGCGCCTCTTTACCTCCATAGATAGTTCATATTCCTTTTTTCTTTTATCCTCTAAATCCCAGTTAACTAGTTAGCATTAGTCTTTAATTTCTTCCATATTAAAAAAAAATTTAGTGTAGTTTTTCCCCCTTCCGCCACCCGGCCGACCTCCGTCAACAATGACTGAATAAAAATGGGCTACCCCATTTTTTTGTAGAGCTGGCCCTTCCTCGGGCATGCCTGGCTCCCCTGCATTTGAATGCTGCCTGACCTTCAGGCTATCGATACTTGTTTCAAATGGCCATGATAGAGAAATTCCTCGGGTCAGCCTCCGACCCAGAATCCAGGATGCTTCCTGGCCAATGGTCACCAGCAGCAGCCTCAGACAAGGGCTCCACTACCAAGACCGCTTCTAAGGACCTTGTCCCTAAAAAGGTGACCTAACACTGGTCTTATTCATCGCCAAAGTGAGATCCGCCTAAAAGGAAATGGTCTCCTGGCGAAAAATCTGTCCCAGTACCGATGGCACCGAGAGCCTCAGACCAAGAGGCACTGTGAACGTCCGGTACCAAGACTTCTTGAGGAGCCAAGGACCTGGTACGGGCAGGCTCTCAGTGAGGTGCGCGATCTAAAACCAAGCTTCCTAGCTCGGCACTGACCGTGCTGAATAATGTCCTGGCACTGACCAGTATAAGGGCGCCACCTGCTGTACATGCACAAATCAGCAAGATCTCAGCACTGACAGTTCTGACCCTCTCCTCTCAGACTGCACTGCCATCCCCGGCAACGAGCTTCCCAGTACTGCAACTTTTCAACAGAAAAGAAAAGAAAAGAAACCTGGCAGTTTCTTCTACGCCAGGGGCTTCCCTATTTAGTACCGACGGTGCCCCAGCAAGGCTCAGACCAAGCCGGATCATCACCCCAGGGGCTTCAGTGCCACCTCTCTCCAGTGATGATGATGAGGAGGAGGACAACACAGGGATGTACACCCCTCACCACTGCTCTCCTAAAGCTTGATGCTCACATCACCAGCCACTGGTAGACGTGTGACCCTGGCAGACCCAATCCTGGCTGCCGTCTCCTATTGCCCTCCCACCCATCTGGCCATACTGGGACCCATGGACCATCTATAGGTCCCAGAACATTAGACTTCCTAACCCACTGGTCTCCAGATCACCTGCCCACCCAGGAGGATGCACCTGAAGGAGACACCTTGCCACCTACGCATAGCTCATCTTTGTCTCCAGATGAAACAATCATGCCACACCCCCTCCCCCACTTCGGGGGATGACTTCGAGTCCTTTCAGGACATTTTTAAGAGGGTAGCGGACTCCCTCGACATCTCCTTGTCTGAGCTCCCTGACACCCAACATCTGCTCACTGACATTCTCCAGGCATCCCCATCGGCAAAAATAGCACTGCCTATTAATGCTGCCATAATGCACCAAGCAAAAACCATCTGGCAGACTCATAGACTCATAGACTCATAGACTTTAAGGTCAGAAGGGACCATTATGATCATCTGGTCTGACCCCCTGCATGCTGCAGGCCATAAAACCGTCCCTACCCCTTCCCTGGACTCTGCTGTTGAAGTCCCCAATCCTGTTTTTAGTGACTGCAATCGGCAGAGACCCTCCTGCTAGAGATCCCTGCCCCATGCTGCGGAGGAAGGCTTCATGGCCTGTGGTGTCAGACTTGCACTTAGAACAG